CTTGACGGCTCATTGGTCCAGTTTCCACATGTCAACGACATGGCAGACTGGCTCATGTCAATCAAAAGCCCATCGGCTTTGTTTTCATTATTAAACTCATTGAGTTCATTGAGTGATCAAATCATCTTCAGTCTCGTTATTTTTGAACAGGTCCTCGGTAGTAGACCTCAGATTCATTGAGTGTTTTGTCCATCACACCCGTCCCTCAGGAAGGACCAGAGGACGATCAGACCTCAGTGTGTCCCTCAGTCAGCTTGAGGTAGGTGTTCCAGTAGGTCGGTTCACTTTGCTCATGTAAACGTGTGCTGTGTTTTTAATACGTGTTTAATACACCACTGAGTCCAGATACAAGTCTGACGTGTGCACAGGAATTCTCTGGTGACACTGGGGTTGGTGGGTCTATTTGAGAAGACAGGAGGTGGAGACTGAGACACTGAGGACAGAATTACCTGCAGGCCAATACTAAGACCAAATCGTGGTTGGAAAATTACCTGTTTATCAATTTATGTAGTATTTGTTGAATTATTTTGTTTGTTTTCGGTTGCTCCTTTCTTCAGGGGTCACCACAGTGAACGTGCACTGACTTGGCAACAGACCACCGAGCTACCACAGCCCTCTGTGTGGAGCAGAGAGCTGCATGTAGGGGCCCCGGGGGAGCAGATGGTGGGGTTAAGAGCCTTGCTCAATGGCCCAGAGTGGGGCAAATGAGGGTGGAGGCAGGCGTGGTGCTTCACCTTTGCCACACAGATTTATGTTGTCGGTCTGGGGAGTTGAGCCGGCAACCTTCCGATCACAGGCCCACCTTCTCTAACCTCTGCGCCACCACTCCCCCATATGTGATATGTTGCTAAAAGAATAAAACCAGACAAACAAACTTGAAGTGAAGCTGAACCCTGGTTCTTTTTCTGAACTCAAGTGAGGAGGGGCTGAAAAGAGGAAAGTAAATTAATTTGTTTATCTAAATGTGAATTCAGTTGTTGGGCAGATGAAGAAGTCCTTTTCATCCAACCTTTTTTAAATGTATTCATTCAGCCAGGTCAGAGAATAAAACCGTGTCCTGCTGTTTGTCGTGTGCTCATAACTTTGACACTTTAAGTCGTTTAATGGTGTTAAAAGTTGGACCGCATTGTCCTCCCTCCTCTGAGCTCTTTGCTTCTTTCCTAAAAAGCAGCGCGCGCGGGTCAAACGAAAAAAAAAAAAAAAAACCCTCGTGCGGAACAGAACCACGCGCTGCTGCCTGCAGGCTCTGCGTTCCTGGTCCGGCCCGGTGCCCGGCTCGGCTCGGCTCTCCTCCCGGGAGACACGGTCTGATGTGTCCGGGGAGAGGAGCCCGAGGGGCGGCCTGCGGGTCACGTGATCAGGCGGCGCTGATGCGTTCACGTCAGCTTGGTTATTTTTGATTCATTTCTACCCGCTGGCGGTTTTCAACCAACTTGGTCCTGTTTATCTGCGGGATTTGGAGTTAAAATTAAACCAACTTTTTAAATGAAATGTCTCGAGTTTTCCTTCTAAAAAGAGAATAATAAATAAGACTCGAATTGAACACTACAGATAAAATGGTCAAATTTTAAAAGAGTCATTGAATTATTATTTTTTTGGATCAGATATTTGCAGCTTATTCAACCTCTTCTGCTTCAGTTCCACACTTCAGACTGAAGCTGAAAATAAATGTGATGTCCTGAAAACGCGTTTGTGCAATTTGACCCAAAACCAGCGTGCGGTGCGAGCCGGACGGAAGCCGGTGGGGACAAACAGGAAGGTTTGCGTCTCACAGGCCTGAAGCTGAGCTCTCTCAGCTCTCCTCTGGAAAAGGCCATACATTTATATTTACAGCATAAATTATTAATTGACCTGATTTAAAATAAATAAACTGACAACGAGATTATATATGAACATTGATTCGTTTTAGCCTAAAAACAAATTCTGAAAAACAAATTCTGCAGATTCCTCATACATTTCAGGCGGAAAATACCTCAAACCAGTCATTCAAAGAAATTAAATGATTTAATCACATTTTTAAATTAATTTAAAAAAATGTTTTATTTTCTTATGTGTGATAAAACGCACGAGGCCCGAATCAGTCATTTGTTTGTAGATTTGTGAAACATTAAAACATGTTTTTTTTAAGTAATAAATTCTATTTATTTTATATCACTGATAAATAATATTTACATAATATGTTTCTTTTTGTTAAAAAAATTAATTAATTAAAAGAATGTGGCCCCTCAAATTTAGGTTCAAGCTGCCTGGTGAAAAATAATACGTTGAATTGTTTGGTTAAAAATAAATTTAAAGAATGTTAAATTGAACTTTTTTTTTTTTTTAGTAAATTGAAAATTCACCATCTCCTAATTGATTTCCTCTTGTATTCATGTCCAGCTTTCCTGCTGAACTCTTTAGCTGATAAATAATTTAAAAACTGCCTGTTTACAGCGACATGCTGCATTTAATGTTTGTTATTTGTTATTAACAGATGAAATATTGTTGCTCGTTATTATTGTTGTTGTTTTTACACTGCGGGTGAATAAATGTGGCATTTTGCCCCATAAAAGGTCCAAAACTCTGCAGGACTATAACTCTGCAGCCTGGCTGCTGAAATCTGCTCGTTTTAACACCGGGTTGATGAGACAACAGAATATTCTTCTTTTTTTGTTAGTTTCTTTCTTTTTTTATACAAACAACATTAAATTGTGTGTCCCATCTCTCAGTCAGGCCCTCCTGTAAATAATTATTTCTAGACATACTTACACACACACACACACACACACACACACACACACACACACACACACACACACACACACACACACACACACACACACACACACACACACACACACACACACAGCTATATTTTGGAAGATGATTGAAACATCTTTAGAACATCTGGGAGTGGTGGTGCAGAGATTAGAGAAGGCGGGCCTGTGAGTGGAAGGTTGTCGGCTCAACTCCCCGTACCGACAACATCAAAATGTGGGTGGTAAAGGTGAAACACCCACACCTGCCTCCACCCTCATTTGCCCCACTCTGAGCCCTTGAGCAAGGCCCTAACCCCAACATCTGCTCCCAAACAGTCTTGGAAATTTCATCTTCAAATTCTCATTTTCTGTCTTAAAAATGAGTCCGCATGATTCGATGAGACTGCCTGTACAAGTAAAGGTAAATAATTGAAAATAAAATATATATTTAGTGGTAAGTTTAATCTGATTGTACAAATTATCACAAGTCCTCTCAGCGAATAATAAAATAAAATTTAGATGAATGTTTTTGATTTGCAGTGAACGTAAAGCAGCTGAATAAAATGACTTGAATCAAATATTCTTTTTGAAATGTTAATATTTCAATTTTAGAAAGTGCATTAAAATACTGGAAACATCTAGTTTGCTTTATAAGCTTTTATTTAAAAAAAAGCAAAAGTCATATTTATTCATAGTTGGTTACATTTACTGAGCCAGGCTTCATGATTTACTCTCCAGCACGTTCTGTTCCCCTCTGCCTCGTCCAAATTAAGAAATGAACATTTTCACTGATCCAAATGTTTCTTAAACGTCAACAAAGAGTGCAGTAAGAATCCAAGATCAGAAAAGTTGAATATTATACGATGCTTTAAGGCCGTCTTTGCCTGATTTGAGCTAAACTCACATATCACTCCTGCCATCCTGTAAATTCATCAAATACAAATATAGTTAAAATATAACTGCACTCTTTTTGCTGCAGGTTTGTAAAGATTGTTTTTTTAATTTCAAGTCTCTTCTATGAATTTTTTTGTTTACTTTCAGTAGCTTTAAAAAAAACCGATGAAGCGAGTTTCAGAACGACTTTTACATTAAAACAAATAATGAAAATAAATTATTTAATCTGACATGATGGATTGTATTTAACCTCATTGTCTTGTACAAATATATTTCTGCCACAAGTTGAGTTCTTGAAGGCAGTATTACACGTGAATACATATAATTTACAAATACATATCCACGTAATCAGGTTGGATATTTAAAAAAATTATTAGAAAAACAAGCTTTACGATGAAATCTTTATTTGTGAATTCATCTAAAACAATAAAGCGAGTAGTTTTATTTGATTTGATTTTTTTTAACGTAAAACAAAATACTTGTTAATTATAGTATAACCTGATGTAATATTGTAAAACATTTGGCCCATTTCAGCTGAACCTACATATAAATATACTCCTGCCACCATGTAAATAAACATCTTTCAGTTCATACTGAATACTGCTGTGAGAATACACAGTATTACATACAAATACTTGCACAGACATGTTTATATGTACAGCAGTTTAATTTTGTTTCTCAGCACAGGGTTGGTGTCAAACATGTCTCATATTTTCATCATTAGATTAAAATCAGCTCCTCTTTCTTTAGCAGCAATCTAAATACAACAGTTGGCTTATTTGGCTCATTTTAGCTAAATGAACATATACTTCTGCCACTGTGCCAATATATATATATATATATATATATATATATATATATATATATATAT